CCTGGGGGTGCTGCGTCTGGAGCTGCTTCGCCTGGGGGTGCTGCGTCTGGAGCTGCTTCGCCTGGGGGTGCTGCGTCTGGAGCTGCTGAGCCTGGGGGTGCTGAGTGTGGAGCTGTTGAGCCTGAGGGTGTGGAGCCCGCGGCCGCTGGACCTGCTCGTGTGCAGTCTGGCGGTGCTGGGCCTGGTGGTTCTCTGGGAGCGTCGGCTCGGCGGGAGCCACTCTCTCCACACGAGCTGCGCGAGTGGTTTGCCCGGCGGTGGAGGCGTACTGCTGGAGCTGGAGTTTCTTCGGCTGCTGAGGGTGCTGGAGCTGCTGTACCTGCGGGTACGACTGGTGCTAGTCCTGCGGAGGGTGGTGGCACGGAGGCTACTACCGTTGGTCTTGCCGGTGGTTCTACTGCGGGTACTGCTGGTGCTGGTGGCGCTGGTGTTGCCGCTGAGGGTGCTGGTGCTGTCCCTGCTGTGTCTGAAGTCGCCGCGCGGCCTCGGCCGTACTTTGTTCCGCTCCTTCAGCAGGTTCTTAGTCTTCCTCCTCTGGTAGAGTGTCCACCGCCTGTCCAGTCCCAGTCACAGTTACCGCCGGCCTCCCCTCTACTTGCTCCTTCTCCCTACACTGGTCCTACTTGAGGTCTTGCTGAGCGTTGTGAGCCTGCGTCTCGTCCTGCGTCGCCTGTTCGTGCTGCTCGCGCTAGTGGTCGCGGTTCGCGTCAGCGTCCTCCTCCTGTTCCTCGCACGCACCGGATGTCTCTGCATCCGTCCACTGCTCCTCTGCGTGCCCCTTTGCCTTCTCCTCCTGAGTCCTCTCTTCCTGCGCTTGCCGACCCGGAGTCGGACTCTCTTCGAGCTGCTAGTCCTACTGTCACGCGTCTTCTTGCTACAGTCATCACTAACCCCTCTTTTGAGTCCACTGCTGCGTCTGCACTGGTTACTGAGCTCGTCGACTTTGCTGCCCGCTGTCGCCTAGACTACGCTGTTAGTCTTGTTGCTGAGTCTGCGTCTGTCTGTCCTCCGTCCGTCGGGGGTGAGTGTGCTCTTGGCACGGACGTCCTTGAGGACAGGCAGGAGGAGTTCCAGTGTCTGGCTGCTGCTTCACCTCATCTCGCGTCTGTACTGCTTACCCCTGAGGGAGACCCGGATGCACTTGACATCCCGACTCCGCGCTCTTACGCGGAGGCCGTAGAGGGTCCCTACTCCTCTCAGTGGCAGGCAGCTATGGATGCAGAGATGGCTTCCTGGAAGTCCACAGGCACCTACGTTGACGCGGTTCCCCCTCCTGGGGCGAACATCGTCAGTGGCATGTGGATCTTCAGGGTGAAGCGGCCGCCGGGCTCTCCACCTGTCTTCAAGGCGCGGTACGTGGCTCGTGGCTTCAGTCAGCGGCAGGGAGTTGACTACTTTCAGACCTTCTCTCCCACCCCGAAGATGACCACTCTTCGGGTGCTGCTGCACATAGCCGCGCAGCGTGACTACGAGCTTCACTCCCTTGACTTCAGCACTGCTTTCCTACAGGGTAGCCTGCACGAGGAGATCTGGCTGCGCCGTCCACCTAGCTTCACTGGGACTTTCCCTCCTGGCACCCAGTGGAGCCTCCGACGGCCAGTCTACGGTCTCCGCCAGGCACCGCGCGAGTGGCACGACACACTGAGGACTACGCTTGCGGCTCTTGGGTTTGCTCCCTCTACTGCTGACCCGTCGTTGTTTCTGCGCACCGACACCTCTCTGCCGCCGTTCTACATCCTCGTGTACGTCGACGACTTGGTCTTTGCCACTGCTGACACTGCTGGACTCGCCCACGTGAAGTCCGAGCTGCAGAAGAGACACACGTGCACTGACCTGGGTGAACTGCGCAGCTACCTTGGCTTGCAGATCACCCGGGATAGAGCACGCCGCACCATTACCTTGACTCAGTCACACATGGTGCAGCAGGTCCTTCAGCGCTTCGGCTTCACGTACTCCTCGCCTCAGGCCACTCCTCTGTCTACTCGCCACTCGCTCTCAACTCTGCCTTCGGATGAGTCCGTAGAGTCGAGTGGCCCGTACCCAGAGCTTGTTGGCTGCCTCATGTACCTGATGACCTGCACACGACCTGACCTGGCATACCCTCTTAGCATTCTTGCACGCTATGTTGCTCCTGGGAGACACAGACCATAGCACATGGCTGCAGCGAAGAGGGTGTTGCGCTACTTGTGCAGTACGTCGGGCATGGGGCTAGTGCTTGGAGGGCGGAGTCCAGTGGTCCTCACTGGCCACGCGGACGCTTCTTGGGCTTACGACCAGGCTACGCAGCGGACGTCACAGGGTTACACCTTCAGTCTTGGTTCCGGCTCGATTTCGTGGCGGGCTACTCGCTCGTCTTCTGTTCTCGGCTCCAGTTGTGAGGCTGAGATCTACGCCGGGGCCATGGCTGCACAGGAGCTTCGCTGGCTCACCTACCTGCTGACTGACCTCGGAGAGCTACCTCGTTCTCCTCCAGTGCTGTACGTAGACAACAAGGCCATGCTGGCCTTGTGTCGGGAGCAGCGCCTTGAGCACAGAACGAAGCACATTGCTCTCCGCTACTTTCTCGCTCGTGAGTTGCAGCAGCGTGGTCAGTTCCGACTTGCGTACGTGGCCTCTGAGGCCAACACTGCTGATGTTTTCACCAAGGCTCTTCCGCCTTGTGATCATCAGTGCTTCTGCACTCAGCTGGGCCTTGTGCCTGTCTTGCCTCACTTGCTCTCCTCTTGACCTCACTTGTACTCTTCCATATATATATACCTGCTTTTGCTTGTTTAGTCTTATATATATATGTTGTCTTGCATGTGAACTGGCCTTGTGTCCTTGACCTTGTGCTCGGACTGTGTGGTGACTTTGTGATCCACCCTGAGCTTGCTTTGCTTTGCTTTACTTGACTGGTCTTGTGACCCCTTGCTCTTCCCCACTTTGCCTATGGGGGTGTGTCAGAACATTATAGCTTATGCTGTTGTGTAGGCTATAGTGGGGTATCCCATAGGGGGTACAACCCAATTAGGGTTTCCTATATGTACTCACTTCCTTCATAGTTGATTCATTCTCGTTCAGTCTTTCTCAATCTACTGTTCCAGGGATAAGGAGCCCTAAAACCCTAAACCCTAAGTTCCGAGGATAAGGCAGTGCTCCAGCGTCTCCTGCTCCCCGTAGTACGGGCAAACTGGCCTGCTTGTGAGGAACGCCAGCCTTTCCCCCACCTGCAGATTCAAGCCATGGATGCAGACAAGGACATCTCTTGGATGGCTGGGGACAGCCAAGGAGTCCCGCGTCAGCACCACCTGTTTCCAATCGATGGGGTTACCCCATCGCACCCCCCACTTCTGCTACTTGTACGATTGACCGAAAGTCCCCTTCCACCCTGTCGAGAGTCTAAGTAATTTAAGAGTAGAAACGGGGGCCTAGGCTTAGTAGCCTAGGCCCTAACTTAGGTATCGAGCGGGTTTTCCCCTAGGAGCAATGTCGAGTGAGTTGAGAGGGAAATTGGTGAAAAGGTGGTTTCACTATAGGTTCAGGGGTACATATAGCATAGAAACAAAATAAGGTGCACCACCAACAAAAGTTTACATAACTACACTAACTACAACTACAAGCAATTATAAAACATGACAAAATATTTCGACACGCCCCCATAATGCTTGTAGGTAGGTATGTAGTTACAGCAACAGCAGGTATCCCTACCATCTCCTCACCCTCCTCCTTCCCCTCCCCCACACTGCTGCAGAAGCAGCAGAGAAAGGGGGAAGAGAGGAGAGGTGGAGGGACGGCTGCTTGTTGCCTCACACCCGCCACCCCGGTACCACTCCCCCTCCTCACCCACATCCTCACACCCTCCTCCCCCAGCGGCAGCTGCAGCGGTGGGACTGAAAGAAGGAGGAGGGAAAGGGAGAGAGTTGACCCCACGCTCCAACACCCTCCACCCCCATACCCTCCTCCCCACGGCTGCAGGGAGACAAGAGAAAGGGGGGGGTGGGAAGGAAGAAAGCCGCAGAGCGGCGAAGAGGCGTCGGTGCAGATGGGTCAGGGGCGGCAGCAGGGAGTGCAGGGGCGGAAAGGCCCGTCGCGGGCCAGTGCCACGGGGCGCACGACGGGTAGCATAAAAGGGCCCGATCGTGTGCCTCGGGGCACACGACGAGCAGGGCACCATCGTGTGCCACGGGGCGCACGATGGGCAGTAGAAGGGCACCGTCGCGTACCACGGGGCGCGCGACGGGCAGGGAAGGAGTCACACGCCCGTGGGCGGGACAATGTAAAAATAAAGTCGTCACGCGCCCTAGGCGCGCGACCGGAAAACCTTAGCAGCGGAAGTGTAAAGTGGGCCCACAGGCCAGGACGAACCTAGCTCCGATAACATGTCGAGAGTCTAAGTAATTTAAGAGTAGAAACGGGGGCCTAGGCTTAGTAGCCTAGGCCCTAACTTAGGTATCGAGCGGGTTTTCCCCTAGGAGCAATGTCGAGTGAGTTGAGAGGGAAATTGGTGAAAAGGTGGTTTCACTATAGGTTCAGGGGTACATATAGCATAGAAACAAAATAAGGTGCACCACCAACAAAAGTTTACATAACTACACTAACTACAACTACAAGCAATTATAAAACATGACAAAATATTTCGACACGCCCCCATAATGCTTGTAGGTAGGTATGTAGTTACAGCAACAGCAGGTATCCCTACCATCTCCTCACACCCCTCTTTCATTCACCTCATGGAGACTACCCGCCCGCCTTCCAGAATTGGAACCCGCAGGGGAGAGCCAGTCGAGCGTGGAGGGGCTGTAGGGAAACCCGGTAGCCTTTGCCAGTAGGACGGGATCGCTAACAGCGCTTTCATCGCTAGCTTGGCCGACCCGTTGCCTCCCTACTACTGCTTCAGTACCACCATGGATTTTACCACCGCAACCCCATCTTCCTCTCCATCCAACAAATTCGTGTGTGTCTCAGGCTCTGGGCCTCTTTCTGCCCCCCCCAGCGGATTAGTACCGTTGAGTAGAATATCTTTATTGAAGAAAATCCGCTCCCGCAGAACCTCCTCCTTGCTCCCCACCAAGTTCCTGACTGAGAAGGGTGACCGCATAAAACTCTCCGCCATCTGCTTCCACCTTGAACTGCCACAGCCCCAATGTTTCAGCAGTTTTTCGTGCGCAGTGAAGGAGTCCTCTCCCAACGGAAGCTTCGCCGCGTGCTCCATGAGGTCTTTCTTTAGCGGGTTTTGCTCCGTGAGGAACAAACCAACTCTCCTTGCCGCCAATCATGTGATGAGTATCTCCGGGTCTCTGACCCCGATCCCGCCGTCTAGCCTCGGAGTGTAGAGCAGCTCCCTGCTCCAGAGGATAAAGCTTTTTGCCGTTGCTACTCTGTTTCCCGATGTGAAGCTGTGCAGTAAACGCATGATTTCCAACCAAATGGCTGCCGGTGGCGGGTAATTTTGTGCTTGAAATGCCAGGATCGGTGTGATATAGTAATTAACGTCTGTTGCCCTTGCTATGATTGTCAGGTACTTTAACTGCCACTTGGTCAGTTTCTCCGACACACGGGCCCACGTCTTCTCCCAGGTCGGCTGACCGTTACCGGACGCCGTCACCCACACCCCCTGTAACCGTTCCGCCTCATCCACACCGGCCCATTTGAAGCCGCCGGTCCCGCCATCTATCACTCCAATATTGTCCCCCAAAGGTAAAACCACTGATTTCAATTTGTTCGTCGCCAAACCTGATGCCTTCTCAAAACACTCTAGTAATTCCTCCGCCTAACCGATCTGCTCCCTCCATTGCAGGATGAGAGTTGTATCGTCCGCGTACCCAAGATATCCAAGCCGGTGCCCCTCTTTTTCAAGACCGAGCCCTCGCCTCTCCACTTCCTGAGCTAGTGGCTCCACCATGCACATAAACAGGTATGGCGCCAAGGGGCAGCCCTGCCTGACACCAAAAACCACGTCAACCCCGTCTCTGAGCCAGCCGTTGATAAGGAGTTTTGTTGTCGTTCCCTCATGCAGGCCTTAAACCCAGCCAACAAGCCGCTCCGGGAAGCCCATCTTCTCCAACACGCTGAAGAGAAATACCCTCGAGACTGAGTCAAAGGCCTTCTGGAAATCCACCAGAAGCAGGTACCTGTCCTCATTTCCGTCTTTTGCGCCCTCAATGATATCTGCCACCAGAGCAACCGCATCCGACAGACGGCAACCAGGGATGAAGCCATATTGCTCCGGTGAGATCACCATGTGCAGCACTGATTTCATGCGATCCGCCACCACCCGCGCTAGCACTTTGTAGGTGAAGTTCAGCAGAGTTATGGGGCGATAATTATTAAGCTGCTCTTTGTCTCCCTTCTTGTGCAGCAGAATCGTCATCGCTTCCTTCAATTTAGCTGGCAGAGAAGCGCTGCTCTCGAAGCTCTTTGCCATGACCATGAAGCTTTCCCCCAGCAGGTCCCAATGTGCCTCAAACAACTCCTTTCGCAGACCGTCGCTACCAAGGGACTTGTTCCTCGCCATTTCCGCAAACCCCTTTTTAACCTCCTGTTCTGTCCAATCCGCTGTTAGTGTTTCAGCCACCATCTCGTCCAAACGACGAACCGGATTAAAACTCCACTCCGCACCCTCAACTCGACGGTCAGCACCGAAGATATTCCGGAAGTAGCCAGACGCCGCCTCCAGAATTTCCTTTGAGCCAGTAATTGACCCCGCGCCATCCTTCAGCTCCATGATTTGGGTATGAACCTTCCGCGCCTGCACCTTCGCCGAGAGATTCTTAGAGGCGATTTCTCCTGTCATCTCCGCCGTGGAACCCGCCTGAATGTGCAGCCGCTTCTTCTTAGCTGCCTGGTACATTTTCAGCTGCCCCTCCTTCACCTTCAGCAACTCCTTCGTTCTGGTGCAGAGGGGTTCCCCCATCAGCCTCTGCATCAGAATTGCAACCGTGTTGGTCAGGTAAACCACCGTCGCTCTGACCCTCTTGCTTTCATCCCGTGTGTAGGCTCTGAGCCCTGCACTCAGCCTCGCCACCAATAGTTCAGAACTGCTTCCGTCGTTAACCGGAGTCCTCCGCACCGTCGCTTCAATGATTTTCCTCACCCCCGGCCTATTCACCATTGAAGCGTGTAAACGCCACAGCCCTGGTCCCGTGCAGACCTTCTCATCCAACCGGAAGGAAGTTAACACCGCGAAGCCATGATCCGCTATCGGCTAGTCAGGCTTCACATGTGCTGCGACCGTTAGGTAAGGAAGAAGTGATTATGAGAATAAGGCTCTATGTATCCGCATACTAACCCGTTTTGACTTAGAGAAGAAAGTGTACTCTCTGCAGCCTGGATGGAGAATACGAAAAGCGTCAGAGAGCTGAAAAACCTTGCATCTGTGAAAAAGCCTCTCGTTTTCGTTTGATGCGCCTTTTCCTAATGACTTGTCTAACTTGGGATTTTCTAAATGGTTGAGGTCGCCTATTATCAGCAGGTGGTCCGTCACCGAGATCTGATCAACCAGTGGTCCAAGGGAGTCACGAAGGAAAAGCGACCTACACTATGGGCTGGCAGGGAAATACACCGCGAGCAGTGTGAGGTCTGGACCGAGACCCCTGACTGAGGTCCTTACTATTCTACCGGATGAGTGAGACAGTGTGTCCTGGAGGATGATGAAGGGGTTACTACTGAGAATGGCTACCCGCCGGCTCTCGACCTGGAGGTTGTCGCTAAAACTGTATGAGTTGAGAGGGTTTTCCAGTATGGGTGGTCTGCATCTATTCTAGTGTCTACTAAGACTGCTATGTCTCCTGCTTGTTTAAGCCAGCTGTTAACTTGACTTTGCTTTGCTACATCTGAGGCCGTTGAGATTGAGGCTGGATATGGTGAGGTGGTTTTTCTTAATCATGATTCCACACTCTTGCAGCCCCTAATAATCCACAGGCTGATGAAAGATACAACACATGCAACGCTGACACCCATACTCCATGTCGCGGCCATCGCGAGCTGCCGGACAGTAACGTCTATGACGAGAAATGAGAATGGATGAATGAACTATGAAACATATGGGTACAAGTACTAACCTTAATTGGGTTGTACCCCTTATGGGCTACCCCACTACAGCCTACACAAATGTGTAAGCTATAATGTTCTGACACACCCCCATAGGCAAAGTGGGGGAGAACAAGCGGTCACAAGACCAGTCAAGCAAAAACAAAGCAAGCTCTAGGTGGATCACAAAGTCACCACACAGTCCGAGCACAAGAGTAAGGCCACAAGGCCAGCTCACATGCAAGAACATATATATAAAGGTAAACAAGCAAGTGCAGGTATAGAAAGAGTACATTACAAACAAGATCAAGAAGTGAGCAAGTGAGGCCAGGTAGGCACAAGACCAAGCAAAGTACAGAAGCGCTGATGATCACAAGGCGGAAGGGCCTTGGTAAAGATATCAGCCGTGTTGGCCTCAGACCCCACGTAGGTGAGACGCAGCTGACCACGCTGCTGCAGCTCACGAGCCAGTAAGTAGCGGAGAGCAATGTGCTTCGTTCTGTGCTCCAGTCTGTGCTCCCGACACAAGGCCAGCATGGCCTTGTTGTCTACGTACAGAACTGGAGGAGAAAGAGGCGGCTCTCCTAGGTCAATCAGAAGGTAGGTGAGCCAGCGTAGCTCCTGTGCAGCCATGGCCCCTGCGTAGATCTCAGCCTCACAACTGGAGCTGAGAACAGACGTCGAGCGGGTAGACCGCCACGAAACAGAGCCGGAGCCAAGGCTGAAGGTGTAACCCTGTGACGACCTCTGCAGAGCCTGGTCGTCAGCCCAAGAAGCGTCAGCGTGACCAATGAGGACTACTCAACGTCGCCCTCTAAGCACTAGCCCCATGCCCGACGTACTACACACGTAGCGCAACACCCTCTTCGCTGCAGCCATGTGCTCTGGTCTGTGTCTCCCAGGAGCAAAATAGCGTGCCAAGATGCTAAGAGGGTATGCCAGGTCAGGTCGTGTGCAAGTCATCACGTACATGAGGCAGCCAACAAGCTCTGGGTACGGGCCGCTCGACTCTAGGGACTCATCCGAAGGCAGAGCTGAGAGCGAGTGGCGAGTAGACAAAGGAGTGGCCTGAGGCGAGGAGTACGTGAAGCCAAAGTGCTGAAGGACCTGCTGCACCATGTGTGACAGAGTCAGAGTAATGGTGCGCTGTGCTCTATCCCGGGTGATCTGCAAGCCAAGGTAGACGCGCAGTTCACCCAAGTCTGTGCACGTGTGTCTCTTCTGCAGCTCGGACTTCACGTGAGCGAGTCCAGCAGTGTCAACAGTGGCAAAGACCAAGTCGTCGACGTACACGAGGATGTAGAATGGCGGCAAAGAGGTGTCGGTGCACAGAAACAGTGACGAGTCGACAGTAGAAGGAGCAAACCCAAGAGCCGCAATTGTAGTCCTTAGTGTGTCGTGCTACTCACGGGGCGCCTGGCGGAGACCGTAGACTGGCCATCGGAGGCACCACTGGGTACCAGGAGGAAACGACCCAGCGAAGCCAAGTGGGCGGCGCAGCCAGATCTCCTCGTGCAGACTGCCCTGCAAGAAAGCTATGATGAAGTCAAGAGAGTGAAGCTCGTAGTCGCGCTGAGCGGCTATGTGCAGCAGCACCCGAAGAGTGGTCATCTTCGGGGTGGGAGAGAAGGTCTGAAAGTAGTCAACTCCCTGCCGCTGACTGAAGCCTCGAACCACGTAACGCGCATTGAAGACAGGCGGAGAACCCGGCGGCCGCTTCACCCTGAAATCCACATGCCACTGACGATGTTCGCCCCAGGTGGAGGAACCTCGTCGACCTAGGTGCCTTTGGACTTCCAGGAAGCCATCTCTACGTCCATGGCCGACTGCCACTGAGAGGAGTAGGGACCCTCGATCGCCTCAGCATACGATTGAGGAGTCAGGATGTTCGGTGCATCCGGGTCTCCCTCAGTGGCAATTAGCGTGGACACCAGATGGGGCAAAGCAGCCGCAAAGCACTGGAACTCCTCCTGCCTGTCCTCAAGGATGTCCGTGCAAAGAGCACACTCACCCCTGACGGACAGAGGACAGACAGACTCAGACTCAGCAATGAGACTGGCAGCGTAGTCTAGACGACAGCAAACAGCGAAGTCGACAAGCTCAGCAACTAGAGCAGACGCAGAAGTGGACTCAAAGGAAGGGTCAATGACGACAATAGCAAGAAGGCGCGCGAGCGAAGGACTCCGGGTCAGCAAGAGAAGGAAGAGAGGACACTGGAGGAGACGGCAACGGGACACGCAGAGGAGCAGTGGAAGGACGCAGTGCCATCTGGTGTGTGTCGGGGACCGCAGGAGGACATGGATGCGCAGCACAACGACTAGTGCCAGCAGCACGAATAGGCGACGCAGGACGAGACGCAGGCTCACGACGCTCAGCAAGACCTCCAGTAGGACCAGTGTAGGGAGAAGGAGCAAGTAGAGGGGAGGCGGGCTAGACTGAGACTGCGACTGCATAGGCTGTGGATACGCTAAGGGAGGAGCAGGACCGGGAGAGGGCGGGAGACCAAGAACCTGCTCCAGGAGCGGAACGAAGAACGGCCTCGGCCGCGCAGCGCCTCCAGAACTAGCAAGGATGGCACCAGTACCCCCAGCGGCAGCACCAGCGCTAGCAGCACCTCCAGCTCCACCAGCGCCAACTCCAGCACCCTCAGAATTACCAGCGCTAGCAGCACCGCCAGCGCCAACACCCCCAGCAGCTCCAGCTCCAGCAGCACAAACTCCAGTAGGACCGTCAGCACCAGCAGCCTCAGCAGCACCCCCACACGCACCAGCACCAGTAGAAACACCAGCGCCAAAACCCCCAGCAGCTCCACCTCCAGCCGCACCAGCACCGACAGCAGCTCCAGCAGGACCAACTTCAGTAACTCCAGCAGCACCCCCAGACTCAGCAGCACGTCTCCAGCTGCGGGCGAACCATTCGCACAGCTCCTATGGAGAGAGCGGCTCCCGCCTCGACAAAGCACCGCCTGCGGACACACAAGCAAACCCAGTACCCCCACGCTCCGCACCCCCACGCTCAGCACCTTGAGGCGCAGCACCCCCATGCTCAGCACCCCAAGTCTCATCACCCCCAGGCTCAGCACCCCCAGTCTAAGCACCCCCAGACTCAGCACCCCCAGACCAGGCACCCGCAGGCTCAGCACCTCTAGCAGCACCAGAGTCAACAGCTAGCTTGTCAAGCTCGATTGCGTCTACCTGGGACACACCTGACGGGGCAGGACCCTGAGGGGGGGAGGGTGACTACCTTGGTAGCACCTGGCACAAGGAAGAGCGGCGGCCGGGGGAGGGGCGCAGTGCGGTAGGGAAAGAGACGGTAGTAAGGCACTGACTCGTCAAAGGTGACGTCCTGGGAGGACAGAACACGATGCGAAGTGGGGTGGTAAAACTGCCACCCAGGCGCGTCAGGGGGGAAGCCAAGGTAGACGCAGGGAACAGCACGGGGGGACGGCTTGTCCACACACAAGTCCAGACAAACGCTCGAGATCCCCAGACCCGAAACGCAGACGCATCGCCAACCTTCCCCGTCCAACGCAAGGCGGGGGAGGTCTCTGGCAAGGAGACCCGGGGCTGAAGGTTGAGCTGATGCGCGGCATACTGAACCGCAAACAGCCACAGAAAATGGGGGGCAGCCGCATGCATCATGGACTTACGAGCGACGTCCATGACCATGCCAATGCGGTGCTCAGCAATCCCATTTTGTTGTGGAGAGGCCGGAAGCGTGATGGTCTGGCGCATACCGTGTGCACGACAGAAGGCTCCCAGACGGGCAGAGGAAAACTCCTCGCCTCTGTCCGAGTGCAGACGCAGAACAGGAAAGTCCGAGCCGAAACTCTCTCTGAGCTAGAGACGAGCTGCGCGGATCCAGTCAATCAACACCTCAGTGACGTCACCCTCGCTGCGCAAGGGGAAGACTGTGGTGTAACGCGAGTAGTCGTCGACCACCAACAGGAAGTACCGCTCGCGTCCCTGTTCACTGACGCGGGCTGGGCCCCACACGTCCATATGGAGAGTCTGCAGCGGAGCCTTTGTCAGAGGAAACTCAGAGAAGTGAGGGGCGGCGCGCTGTTGCCCCTCAACGCACGGGACGCAGGTAGGGCCAGGCCCCAAAGGAAGGGGAGGGAGAGACCGAGGGAGACCAGAGAGAAGGACACGGGAGGCCATGCCTCGGAGACGAGGCAAGGAGGGGTGACCAAGGCGTTGGTGCAAAAGGAGAGTTTGGTGGGACAGCAGACGGCACGAGCAGAGAGCAGACTCAGAGTCGGACCTGGACGCCGCAGCAAACACCTGACTCGATGAAGCTACCTGGGTATACTCAGCAGCCGGGGGAGACTCAGAAGTAAGGGTGTACAGGCTCGACCCTGGCTGACGGGTGAACATGGCCAAGTGTCGGCTTGTCCGAGCATACGTGCAGTGGGTCACTCGCTGACTCGCAGGAGTGAACTGGTCAACCCCTCGATCCTGTAGGTCCGCTCCACTCACCAAGTTCGTAGAGAACGAGGGGAGGTAGAGACCAGACAGGGTGCTAGAGGGGGTTGCCGAGCACGGTAGGACAGTGGAGAAGCTAGCAAGGACAGGACTCCTAGAGGGGTCTGCAAGGGAGACTCCAACCAGCCGACTGAGCGACGTAAGAGTGGTGCGGTCTCGAAAGAAGGAGCGGGACGCACCCGAGTCCAGGGTGAAGGTGTGTAAGGTCTGAGCTGACATAGTACCTAAGAGAGCAGACTCACCAGCACCTGGGGCAGTAGACCCACTAGCACTTGGGGTAGCAGACGCACTAGCACCTAGAGCAGCAGCCTCACCAGCACCAAGTGCAGCTGCCTCAATGCCCGGGCCAAGCGGTACACACAGGTAACAGTCACCCTCAACACTAGTAGACACAGAATGCATGGCAGCAAGGATAGCATCATAGTCAAGATCAAAGATGGGAACCCCCGCCCTAGACAGATCTCCCGAGCGAGGGATCTCTAATGCCTCAGGGAACTGGCGACGCCACGCGTCCGTCAGGCGACCGAAGTAGCGTTGGGTGGAGTGCGGGCCACCGCACTGCTCACCAGCTCGGTCGCCGGTAAGGAGGACGTAAGTGCAGGGACCAAAACCCCCACCGCGCTGACGCGCCATGTACCACTTACGAAGCTGCTGAGGGGACAGGGTCACGCCACTCCGCTGCTGGTGGCGCGGACCACCACCTGAGCCACTCCTCTGCGCAGAGTCGCGACCGGCTCCACCACCACCGCCGCCGCCGCCGCCGCCTCCGCCGCCTCCTCCACCTCCGCCGCCTCCACTACCTCCGCCGCCTCCGCTCCCTCCGCCACCTCCACTGCTGCCGCCGCCGCCACTACCCCCGGCACCACTCCCACCACCACCCCCACTCCCTCAAGTGCCTCCACCACCACCTCCACGGCCCCCTCCAGCCCCTCCAGCGCCCTTGCCCCCCTTGCCCTTGCCGGTGCGGCGTCTCCCGCTCGGGGCAGACGCAGCGCTGACCGACTCGAAACCAACGAGGTCGGCCGCAACAGTAGAGGCAATAGAGGGCAAGAGGGGGGAGGGAGAACACCCCTCAAAGACGGGGTTGCGAAGGTCACCACGAGAGGCTCCTACAGCGACTATGCTCTTCTCTATCGCTAGGAGGGCCTTCTCAAGGAGGTCAACGGTGAGAGTGGTGTGGGAGACTGAGAGGAAGTGGTCCCTGACTACGCGTAGAGAGTCAGGGAGCCGGGTCAATATGTAGTAGAGGGTGATGTACATATGGGGGGGGTTCTTGGCGCAGAACTCAGCAGGAAGGGCAGCGCGGTAGCGAGTGTCACTAGTGCGGAGGTGCGTAATGCGGTCAGCGACTGTGGGAAAGGCAGCAAGGTCAGGGAAGAGGTACGGTAGCATGAGGCGGCTCAGTGCAGCAGTGGCAGGGGAAGAGTAGCGTGCAACTACAGCGTCGTACAAGGTCTGAGCACTCTTATACTGGCTCTGACCGCACTGGTTAGACTTGTGGGAGGGCGCACCCCACGCAGCGCTGCTTCTCACGCCTCGACGACGCTTGGCGTACTCAGTTCCCTGACGCCACTGAGCTGCCCCGCTGGGCTGATCTGATGAAGCTAAACATTGATATCTTTGCTCTAGAGAGGCCGTCTGCCCTATCGCACTGCAGGAAAAGCTGCAGATCATCTACCCAGACCTCAAAGTCCACTGCCCAACCCTTAGCGTCGAAGGTGAGAACGCTAGGGGAGGCCATAACACCAGTAGACGGGCAGTGAGTACAGTGGGGTAGGGCAGTACAGTGGCAGAGACTATGCTCTTATCAAGCAAGTGGGGCAGTCGGGCGGCTCGGCGGCTCGGCTGCTCGGTGGCTCGGCGGTGAGGCGGCTCGGCTGCTGGGCGGCTCGGCGGTCGGGCGGCTCAGCTGCTCAGCGGTTCGGCTGCTCGGCGGTGCGGGCGCTGGGTGGCGGGGCCGCAGGTGGCGGCAAGGCCGCAGGTGGCTACGGGGCTGTAGGTGGCGGCGGGGTCACAGGTGGCGATGGGGACGAAGGTGGCGGCGGGGCCGTAGGTGGCGGTGGGGCCGCAGGTGGCGACGGGGCCGCAGGTGGCGACGGGGCCGCAGAGGGGCCGAAACGGGGCCGTAAAGGGGCCAGACGGGGCCGTTGCGGGGCCAGACTGGGCCGTAGCAGGGCCAGACGGGGTCATAGCGGGGCCAGACGGGGCCGTAGCGGGGCCAGAGGAGGCCGTAGCGGGGCCAGACGGGGCCGTAGCGGAGCCAGAGGGGGCCGTAGTGGGGCCAGACGAGGCCGCGGAGGGGCCTATACGGGGCTGCAAGAGGGGCCAGATGGGGCCGTGAAGGGGCCGTAAGGGGCCAGGCGGGGCCGCGGAGGGGCCTAGGCGAGGCCGCGAAGGGGCCTAGGCGAGGCCGCGGAAGGGCCTAGGCTAGGCCACAACGGGGCCGTAAGGGCCCTAAGCGGGGCCGTGAGGGGCCAGACGGGGCTGCGACGGGGCCGTAAGGGGCCTAAGCGGGGCCATAAGGGGCCAAACGGGGCCGCGGAGGGGCCAAGGCGAGGTCGCGCCGAGGCCGTAAGGGGCCTAAGCGGGGCCACGACGGGGCCGTAAGGGGCCGTAAGGGCGGTGCGAGGGGCCGTAGAAGGCGGCGCGAGGGGCCGTAAGGGCGGCCAAAGGTGGTCACTAAGGGCGGCTCGAGGCGCTACTCGGGTAGGAACAAAGCGCGCTCCGGGCACGGAAGAAAAAAAAAAATGTGGTGGGCCCTAGGCAACATTCCCACTCGCGAACCTGCTCGATACCATGACGAGAAATGAGAATGGATGAATGAACTATGAAACAGTTGGGTACAAGTACTAACCCTAATTGGGTTGTACCCCTTATTGGCTACCTCACTACAGCCTACACAAATGTATAAGCTATAATGTTCTGACAGTCTACACTCCGTACTCCTTCCGAATGGTGCTGAGAGACATGTTCCCAATGGACTACTTGGTGGCTGTGCCGAGCTTCTCCAGATGAAGCATGTGAGCAGCCGTAGCAATGTGTTCTGATAGAGTCATTAAACTCTTGGCATTCCGCAGCCTGCCTGGGTGCACAGCCATTCTTCCCTATTGCTGCCAGTCGAGATCAAGGCTAAAGCGGAATCGTGGAGCAGAGGTAGGACAAGCTTGGAGGCTTTCAGGGAGGCAGCTGCAAGTATCAAGCGAGTGGTTAGTACATGAAGAGGGAGCTAAAAGCTGGAAAGAGGCAGGTGAGATCTGGAAGCTAAAGTTGACTGTCTGCTGCGCGCAACCATTACCGTTAAGCCTATGTGCCTTTCCCAAAGACATTTTCCACTTTCCTACGTTACTCTGTTGCTCAGTGGTGAAAGCATTATGAAACTTATCATAATGCTGTCCCCCACAGAGTGAACAGGAGAGCACGGAATAGTGGACGAGCAGCTTCTTCGCACCATCAGCCGGAGCAGGGATCATGTGGATCCAGCGGTGCAGATCAGCAGGGTTAGCGTACACCAGTCCTTTCACAGCATCCGTATCCACGCCGGTGACGGGGTGCTGCACACGGTGAAGACAGGTGCAGCGCAGGAAGGCTGGCTTCCCACGGCTTTCAATCGGGTAAACGGCCAGACGGTTGTGGATCGTGACCAGCTCCACTTCAGCAGAGACACCCTTGACAACCACTTCAATGGCCTGCGGGTTCTGAGCTTTCTCCCGCGTGAAGGAAGGGTCAGCGGTATGGAGCCAATGTAGCTTGAAAAGCTTTCCGTTAAGTGCCTGATACACCACTTCCTTCCTCCGCACAATCCCCGTGTCAGATGCGTGCAAGAAAGAAGCTTGGAGGCGACAGAACCACTGCTTTGCGATATAACCAAACGGAAGCTCTTGAAATTTCACATCTGTGAGCACGTCGTCTGAGAGTTCTGTACACCAACCACGTTTCGTCAGCATTTTTAAAGCATCCAACACGCAGGCAATTTCCAGGTGCTGAATAAACGGAATCAGCAGAACGGCAGTGGAGCGCAGCGTTGCAGCAGCTTCCGAGCTCAGATCCAGCTCCAGCTCATCATCAGAGCCTTCGTCAATGAAGCCGTCCGCATCCGTGACTAACTCACCCGTCGCCCGATCACATGTTGTACCAGAGACACCAGCAGCATCCCCGTTGGTTGACGTAGTGGTATTGCTTGCGGATGCATTGTTGTCCGCCGAAGAGTTCTTAAGACCATTGTCCGTTTGATGCTGGTCCCCTGCAGGCGGAGCCGGAGTGTTGATGCTGTCATTGATCAGCGCGTCAGCCGCTGGCCTGGAGCGCAGTCCTTTAGGCAGAGACGGGATATCAGCCGGATGTGACATCGTGCAATGATGAAGTAACACAGGCAGACCAACAAGGTGTTGAACACCAATGAAAGTTGATGAGATAGAGCTGCCTGATGTCTGAACACGGCATTGTTAAATAGTCTTCTGATCTTGTCAGGCTCCAGGGAATGTGCTGATATAACCAAGGATCCAATAGATAGGATAGAATCTGTTAAGTCTAAGAGGAGACAATGAAGTCTCTGTAGTGACCTTGTTGAATAATAATTGAAAGGGAACAAGATAATTGAAAGATAGGAGTACAAGAGATTAAATAGAAATCTAGCTAGCCATGTACTCTAAGGGGTACATTCCCTTATTAACTGTATTGCATAGCTACAATAACCGTGACTATTGCTATCCTCGACAGTTACCATGTTGTAGTGAATTAACTGTCACGCGGTTACTGGATTGTCAAGGGTCACGACCGTTGACTTCCTCAGACGGTTGACCTTCGAGTGACCCTCGACATTCCGCATGCTCTATATGAGCTATTGCGGTACTGGTACAATGGAACAGCTTCGGGAATGCTTTACATGACCTTTCGGTCATTCCAACACTCCCCTTCATTCCTGAATGTGGGCCACGTGGGATTTCTTGGTGATCCCGCAGAGGTCGGCGCAGCGTTGGTACTGCTGACGTGGCAGCTTCTTTGTCAGAAAATCAGCTGCCATGTCACCAGTCGGGTAGTACGTCAGCTTGAGTTTCCCCTTGTCGATTTCATCTTTCACGAAGAAGTAGCGAAGGGCGATGTGCTTGGTGTAGTTGACAAAGTCGGGCTTGTTCGCGATCTTTATCGCGCTCTGATTGTCGCAGAGTAACGTGAAGTGCCCGTTCATTGTCAATTTGGCCTCTTGCAGGAGCTCCATCAGGTACAGTCTTTCGCGAAAAGTTGCACTAGTTGCGATGAATTCTGCTTCTGCTGACGAAAGAGCAATAAGTTCCTGGTTCTGAGAGTTCTAGGAGATGAGTCCCTCTGGTTGGAGTTGAAAAATGAATCCTTTTCGGGAGCGTCGGTTGTCAACATCTCCAGCGTGGTCGGCATCTATGTAGCCATGGAGCTATAGAGTAGCGGTGAAATTAGCTTCGTAGGTGAGACCGACGTCGGGAGTGGAGATGAAGTAATGTAGTGCTCAGCGTAGATCTAGTAGATTCTTCCCTTCAGGTCGCTTCAGGTACTGTGCGAGCCGGGTTGCGACGTAGGAGAGATCTGACCGGCACGTGACGGCGGCGAACTAGCTGCTGCTGATAGAGACGATGGTTTTCGGGAGAGAACGGTGTGGTGTCTGGCTCGTGGTTAGGAGGAGGAGTGCGATAGGGGGTAGTGAGGTTGATTGGTGCGATGGAGAAGCGCTTCGCGAGTGTTTCGGCGTACTTGGCGGCGGAGAGGTGAATGGAGGAGGCGGACTGAGTCACATTGAGGCCGAGAAACTGGGTGACGTTATGGTTGATTGTCACCTTCAGTTTCTCATTGATGTCAGCCTCAAACTGGTCCAATAGCTCCATATCGTCGCCGGTGTAGAGAAGGTCGTCGACGTAGGCGACGAGGAGTACGAATTTCCCGCGTGATTTCCGCCTGTACATTCCAAGGTCGTACGGCAGCTGAGTGAAGCCGAGCTCAAGGAGGACGGAATGGAGGTACTGCTGCCATAGACGAGGCGCTTGCTTGATTCCGTAGAGGGATTTTTGGAGGAGGCACACGGCGCCATCATTTTCTTGAATGCATGCGGCTGCTCGACGAAAATGATGGCATCGACGGGAGCATAGAAGAAGGCGCTGCCAACGTCGATTTGCCGGAGCGGTCGCTGTTTGACGGCAGCAATGCAGATGAGAATGCGTACCGAGGTGTGGCGGCCGACTGGAGCGTAGGTGAGAGTGAAATCCACTAGGTGTGTTTGCTCAAATCCCCGCACTACCCAACGCGCCTTGTACTTGTTGACCGAGCCGTCTGCGAGAGTTTTGATATGAAAAACCCATTTGCCGCTGAGAATTTTTCTCCCCTTTGCTGATGACGAAGGGACCAACTTCCATGTCCCACGTTTCTTCAGCGATGCAATTTCGGCGGCCATGGCTGCTTTCTATTTACCACTGTCGAGGCCAGATAGGGCTTGGCGGACGGTGGTTGGTTCCTTGGGCGAGGTGCAGCGAACAGCGACGGCGAGGGCGACAACGCGGAGACCGGTTTCGTCAGTCTTTTCATAGTGAAGTCGGTCATAGTCGTGGAAGCTGGTAACTTCGACCACGTCGTCATCGCTGTCGTTGCCGAGGCGGAGGATATCTTGCGACATGTTGGGTTGTGGTAACTTATCAGGTGATCGGCGCGCCTCACTGTTAAATTCATGAGTTTCGCGAGTTGCATCGTTAGGATCGGGTTGGTGTAGAGGTACGAATATCGGAGTCCCGAATTGGATTGTGAGGGGGATGCTCGGAGCGGAGTCCATTGGGGTGACATCAGGTGCGTCTGCATCCTCGGCCAGGTCAGCTTCGTCGTGTGACGTGGCGAAGTTGCGGTGGCCCTCGAAGAGCCTCTCGGAAAGTTTGTCGGCTTCCTGGTGCTCCTTAAAAAGGGGCAGAGTCAGCTTCTCGTAGAAGATGCAGTCACGTGATTTCGTCACCTCGTGTGTCGCGTAGTCCAGCACGATCCACGCCTTGAATCCCTTCTCGATAACGAGGTGGATGCCCCATCGTGCCCGGTCAGCAAATTTTCCAGTTCTCGCAGTGTGGGGTCTGTACTGTACCATGCAGCCAAACACCCGAAGCAGGCGCGTATCTGCTTTTCTGCCCGTCCATGCCCGGTAGGGAGAGTTGTTGTTCTCGAGGCTTCGCGAGGACAGCAAGTTGTGCAGCCGAACAGCTTGATTCATCGCAAACGGCCAATATTTTGTTGGATGGCTGACTGCTTCATCAGAGCCCTCATCCGCGTGGCGAGGCTTCTATTTGTCCATTCTGCTACTCCTTGTTGGTGAGTGTAGGGCAGGGACACCAGGTGCTCAATCCACTTCTGCTTGAGGAGCTCCTTGAACTCATCCGAGAAGAATTCCAATGCTTCGTCCGTCTGCCAGGTTTTGAGTTTGAGACCGGACTGTCGCTTAGCCCGCTTCATCCACGCAATGAAGCACTCGAAGGCCAGAGACCTGCTGTCGGTGTTGACGGCCCAGACGTAGCGAGTAGATACGTCGATGAAGGTAAGTGTGTACTGCTCCCCGTCGAGCCCCTCATTGCTGAGCACCATAAAGTCGCTGTAAACCTTGTCCAGCGGCTTGTAGCGTTCATACCCTGGGGGCAAATCGGGGAACGGCTGGTGATTGAGTGACGCGGTTGGGCAGACGATGCATGGCGGGTTAGGTGAGTCCGCGGTAAGGGAACCGTTTCGAGGAAGGAGGAGCGCGTCGTTGTCGAAGACTCCGACCTTGAGCGAGATTTTTAGCGTGGCGTGGGAGGGATGGCTGAGCCGTTGGTGCCATGTTTCTGGGTCCGCACGGTAACTGACTGTCTTTTAATAATATTTTTGTCGCGCTGCTTTGTTGTTTGCCTCCCCTTCAGATCCTATGTCGGTGGCGGAGTCGGTGTCGGCGGCGAGCGCGCGAATTGATTTTCGCTCCAGAAGCACGAGGGAAATACCGATGATGTCGTCGGTGTCACCGGCCTCGACTTGATCTCCGGTAACGAGCAGGCATTGGTTGGGCCATTCCCAAACTGGGAGTCCCTTCACGGGGATTCTGAAGTAACTGTATTTAGTGCCGATGACCTCAATTTCTTGTGGTCCTTAGAAGGGACAGTGCGCAAGCGTAGAAGGTCGTCGTAGGCTGGTCGCTCGAGGTCCATCTCGTCGGGTTGTGACCATGTTGGTGGCTCCGTGGGAGTTGTTTTCAGTAGCAGTGTGCGGTGGGAGTCACCGGTGGTGCCCTGAGCTGAAAATTGCAGCACGAAGACTCCATCATCATCGATCGCCTTTCCGATGTAAGTTTTGTTGTAGAAGAGCTCGAAGGTTTTTTCCTTCCGATTGCTGCAAATGTCGATTCCGCACCGCATGAGATGAGCTGATGAGAGTAAGTTGTATTGTAGGTCAGGGGCGACGAGGACGTCCCCGATGTGAATGGTGAACTTCGTGTCATCGGCCTCGAGGTAGATTTTGCCAATCTCATATGCCTTCATTTTTCTGTTATTGGCGGCGGGGATTTCGCAGGGTCGTTGCATGCGTCGAGAGTTGTTGATGAACTTTGGCGATCCCACCATGTGTTGTCCGCATCAACTGTCGAGGTACCATGTGTCCAGATCCTCGTAGCGCTGGCGGGCAAGGTTGGCAATCTTGGGCGTACGGTGAGAGGGCGAAACATCTGTTTGCAGAAATGCTCGACGGCGATTCCGGAGTAGGGGGAGGGAGCTCGAAGTCAGGAGGAATGTCTGAGGGGCGAGAGGACCAGGTAAAAACTGTTGGGTCATTGTCTGGACTGGGCGCAACGGGGTTGATGGGATTGTCGCGAGTGAATGTTACTCGATCCCAGTAACGGGATGAGCAAATGAGAACGAGAATGAATGAACTATGAATGAACTGAGTACAAGTACTAACCCTAATTGGGTTGTACCCCTTGTGGGCTACCCCACTATAGCCTACACAATATGCAAAAGCTATATGTTCTGACACACCCCCATAGGCAAAGTGGGGGAGAACAAGGGGGGGACAAGACCAGTCAAGCAAAGCAAAGCAAAGCAAGCTCAGGGTGGATCACAAAGTCACCACACAGTCCGAGCACAAGGTCAAGGCCACAAGGCCAGTTCACATCCAGGAGTAAACATATATATATAAAGCTAAACAAGCAAGAGCAAGTATATATGTATATGCAAGAGTACAAGCAAGCTCAAGGGGTGAGCAAGTGAGGCAAGACTGGGACAAGTCCCAGCTGAGTGCAGAAGCGCTGATGATCACAAGGCGCAAGTGCCTTGGTGAAAACATCAGCAGTGTTGGCCTCAGAGGCCACGTACGCAAGTCGCAACTGACC